CAAACTATTAGAAAGAGAAATATACGACCAAATCATTAATCACCTAGAAACAAACAACCTACTCACAAACTGTCAACATGGCTTCCGGAAGAAACGAGGAACAAATACCGCAATTGCAGAACTCTGCGAAGACATAACAAGTATTTGGGAAGACAGAAAAAATGCATCGGGACTTTTCTTAGACCTTCAAAAAGCGTTCGACTCATTGGATTGGGATATACTTCTACAAAAGCTAAAAAAAGTACATATTGAAGGAGAAGCATTGGCACTAATAAAAAACTATCTTGACCATAGGTACCAATATGTTGAAACCGATCAGCAAGTGAACAACATAATTATAACAACCAAATCACCACTTAAACAGAATACAAAAGGCATTCCTCAAGGCTCCATACTTGGCCCACTTTTCTTCCTGATATATATTAATGATGTACCGGAAAAATTATCAAAAGAATTCAAATGTATTCTATTTGCAGATGATACCACCATAATAATACCTACAGATAGAAATAAAAATAACCAACAACTCATAACCACAGCAGTAGAACAAGCAACAACAATATGCAACAACCTAAATCTAAAACTTAATACCAGTAAAACTACACACATTAATTTCAAACCAAGCAACAACCTAGAAGATCAAAGCGACTGGACCAACATCAGTATCACAACGCAAGAAACAACTAAATTCCTGGGAATAATTGTTGATAAAAATTTATCCTGGCAGCAACACATCGAACATCTGTGTAAAAAACTGGCCTCTGCACACTATGGCATCAAACGAATTCGCACCATAACCGACGAAGAAACCTCCAGAATAGCCTACTTCTCGCTTTTTGCTTCTCACCTGAGTTACGGAATTGCAACATGGGGATCATCATCTGCAAACAATATGGACAAACTACTTATCCTACAAAAGAAAGTACTACGGACGATATGCAGGACACACTATCTGGAACATTGTAGACCCCTATTCATCCAGCTCAAAATCCCCACCGTTTTCTCACAATACATCCTAGAAACCATTCTCCTAGCAAAAAAATCCAATCCAACACTCCGGTCACATTATCATAATCACAACACCAGACACAAAAACAATATAAACCTGCCACAACACAGACTAAACAAAAAAAAAAAAAATTCAGCAACACCCCAACATACACAGGATCTAAATACATAAATCTTTTGCCAGAAAAAATTAAAAACATTTCAAATCATACCACATTTGTAAAGACACTAAAAAACTACCTTATAAACAAACCATATTACTCAACAAAGGAATACATACAAGAACACACTTATACACACCTACACTGGGCTAGCTGAAAGGCTGCCAAGAAGATGAAGAAGGAGAAATTTTGACGACTCCCCGATCTGAGGATTGTGGTGAAGAAAGAAGAGGTAAAAGGTAAAAGGTAAAAGGTAAAAGGTAAAAGATTCAAATGTATACCTCGGTCTGTGGCAATGACCGCGGCGTCGCATATATGCGACGCTCAGTAGCGAACGTGTTAAGTGTGTGATTTTAATGTTAAGAGCTTAATCTGTACCAAATATTAGTGAGCAAAAGTGGTGTATGGATTTCATAACCATTATTTTACTAGAGACCGTTGTAATTAACCACAATGGCCTCTGTTGCTAGTCTATTAAATAAATAACATTAGGTTTAACGAAACGAGTACCAAGGTTTGCTGCTACAAGGAAACTAATTAAGTGTGTTTTTAGTAAAATATTAATTGTTTAGTATAAAATAAATAAATCTGCAAAGTTTTATCAAAATATATCCATAAACAAGGAAACTACAACTTTTTACCATATTCTCCATAAGAATAACATGAGGATTTTAAATTTTCAATTTTTTGAATTTTCCCCGTTACCAATAATCGTACAAAAACCCTTTGACATACTTAACTATTTGTTTTTTAAGCTCTTTAAAAATGTCTAGAGAGAAATTGGGAAATTTTACGTTTTAAGTAAAACGTTTTAAGGTCGAAAATGAAAAAAAAAAATTAAACGTATAAAATAACTTATAAATAAAAAAACTTTTGAAATGCCACGTTTTTAAACGCACCTTTTTTCGCCCGTAGTGCATCACTGTTAACAGTATATTTTAAATTCAACCATTATATTCTTTTCCAGCATGAAATGTTCTATAATTTGATACCAAGCCAGATTTTTTAACAATAATTTAAAATTTTACACTTTTTTAATGGCTGCCAAAAAACCATATTTGGCGTAACAGTACAAATGTATATTTTTAGTATGTTTTTTATGAGTGTATTACCTACCATTTCTAACTGGAATAATTTATGTTGCAATTAGTTCCACCACTATTATATTATAGTTAAACACTATTTCTACTGCACTATATGTAGTAAAACAAATGATACTAATAACACTTTTCATTGCCACGTATTGGTGCTATTTGCACGACCTTGTCATCTCAAGTCATTGAAAACCGTAGGCCTAAGTAACTTGAATCACCGACATATAAAAATACCCCAGCCGCATAAAACTGCAGACTAAGCGAATTTCCATTTGCCTAAGTGGATTTACACCATAATATCTCCTTAAACATATTTATTCCATATTTAAAGAGCATTAGTTTAACAAGTACTTATGTTTGCTGCAACAGTTTTTGTGTAAATAGGTGTTAACAATTATTTTAGTACTAAAGAAATATCACTTGGCTGAGTTATTTCCATTAGCATGTGTCCAAGCACTACAATCAATTAATTGGTCAACTATACTTCGGTTCATTTTGGGTTTTCGCTGAACATATTGACAACATTGCTAAGTGTAGTAGGCTATATCTACATAATTATAGAGGTTACTCCATTGGAAGTATTTGCTTATGATTAAAAAAAAATTGTAAGTTAAATGTACCATGTCGAACTAACACCAACACCTTAAACAATATTCAATCTAACAAAAAACCACCAAGTGGTAACACTTTCCCCTTTCAATTGAGCCCTTATTATAGAAGTAAAAATGTAATCAAACAGTTTAGGTTTGTTAGAAATAGCACAATGCAAACCAAATATTGAAAAAATAATTTATCCTAAATTTAGGCCTACATATCACTTTTTAATTGCTTGTTTAACATACGTAGAGTGATTTTCCCGATTGTTTTATTTGTTTTAGTGTATCAAAACATAAAACAAACCAGTACTACGTTTAAAGTTTCTAGGTTTCATAAGTTTTGATAAGTAGTATTAAACTGTTCAAAATGACGAGCTGCCCCTGCTTTACCAGTGTACCATCGGTACACTGCATTTTTCAATGGAAAGTATCGGGGAATATCACTGCTCTAAGTAATTTTAAATAGTAAGTAGTTCAAATCATTCGTTATTCCTGAAAAAATCTATTATATTATTAAAGTGATACAATGAAATTTTATGTAAACGGTTAAGGCCATTTACCAAATAAAATATAGGCATATGGCACATAAAAAATAAAAATGAAGCTTAGAGTGTGTAGATTTGCCGAAAAGTGTTTATATGGACGAACTTCCTAAGGGCTCTGCCCCACAGCCTGATTTCCAAAGGGCTACGCCTGGCATGCTTCCAAAGTTTACATGATTTAATTTAATTCAGTTAATGAAACAGCTGGTCAGTACAATGAAGTGGTGTTTGTTTATTTACTCGAAAAAGATGTTTGTCGCGCTATATGTAGATTTAGGAGGGTTGTGTTTGGTTTTAAAGAAATGTTGTATTACGTTTTGTAAAGTATTGATCAAAGTTTCATTTTGTAATTTATATAGTAAGCTACATGTAAGGAAGCTTGACTAAAGTTGAAGAATAGATTATGGTAAAACATGTTGTTCTTGAAGCATCAATATGAAGCAATTTATGTTATTGCTACGCTAAGGTATGTTGTCATATTCTTTTGGATATATTAACATAAAAAGTAGGGGTTGAAAGTTAGTAGGTTTACACTTTTAAATCAGTTTATATTTTCAAACTAAGTCATAGAGTTGCCGTATTTTAAAACACGTATCAGAATTACTTTAATAGCTCTCTAGGTCACATTTTCTTCCCGTTGCAAAGCACCGGTATAGCAGCTTGTACTTTATAAAAGTTTTAAAATAATTATCAGCTGTTCATATGAATATCTCTAACATCTATATATGCAAAACTATGCTAGAGAAAATTCTGGCAATAAATATATTTTAACGTTAATAGATACATTTTCTAAAAAAGCTTATGCTGCTCCACTAAAAAATAAAACAGGGTTAGTGGTTACAGAAGCCATTAAAACCATTCTACCAAAGGGGGTTAAAAACATTCAATCTGACAATGGAAAATAATTTTTTAATCAATATCTTAGCAAACTAATGAAAAAAATTAAATATTAATCACTGTGAAGAAACTATCTAATTAATCAAAATGAACATTTTTGGAACAGTATTTTATCTAGTAATTTCAACAACTCATCTCAAAACAAAAGGTACAAAATAACAATAAATAATCAGTTCATCTGGTCTTTTGAATATAAAACATATGGTTAATTAATAACACCACATCTCTCTTTGTCACACATCTTCTTTTAATCATATCGTTTTGGTCTTCTTAGGATTCTCTGACTTCTTCGATAAGAGTCGTGGTTTAGTTGATCAGGTACACGAGGGATTATATTAGGCTGATCAATATGTATTCTTTCTTCTAATGGCAATAGTGTTAGATGCCATCGATTTCTTCTAAGCCGTCTTCCATTATTTAGTGTTACAAAATATGATCGGGGATAAATATCTGATTTTGATAAGATTTCTCCTTTACATTTCAGGTCTATAATCCAGACCTTATCCCCTTCTTCCAGAGGTTTTAGTTCACTAGCTCGTCTCCTGTTGTCAAAATTCCTCTTCATTCTCTCTTTTATGCGTTTGTCGTTTTGTTGAAACCCAATCAAATCATTAGTATTGACCTTTTCAAAATCTTTCAATGATGGAAGATTTGACCTCAATTTTCTCCCATAAAGCAGCTCTGCTGGAGACAGTCCCGATTCTAACTTCGTTGTGCGGAAACTAATAACCCTAGATTTTGATCTTTATTTTTCAACAATATTCTTTTAGCTATTGACACTGCGTTTTCAGCACCACCGTTTGCCTGAGGAAAGTACGGACTGGTTGTAGTTGCTTCAAACCCATACTCTTTTGCAAAATCCTTGAACTCTTGTGATGTGAATTGAGTTCCGCCATCAGTCCGAATCTTGTATGGATTTCCATGTCTTGCAAAAATGTTCTTTAACTTTCCTACAACCAAATTGGAGGACAGAACACTGAGTTCAACTAATTCAATAAATCTTGAATAATAGTCTTGAACCACCAAGAACCACTTTCTATTACAAATAAATAGATCTGCGGAAAGATAAACCCAAGGACCTTTTGGTAGTTCTGTGGGCATCAAAGGCTCTTTGTTCACTTGACGGTGTTCAAGACACACAAGACAGTTTTCTACTTCAGACTTGACATCTCTCGAACAGCCCGGCCACCAGACGGATTCTTTTGCTCTTGAACGACATTTCACTATACCTAAATGGCCTTCGTGAATTTTGCTTAAAATTTCTTTCCGTAAGCTTCTAGGTATGAACATTCGTCTTCCTTTTACTATCAAACCATCTTCCAAAACAAGTTCATCTCTAAATTTCCAAAATATTGAGTTCTTACGCCAATTATTCTCCAAAATTGACGACAAGATTTCTCGACTCTCGGGATCATTACCTTGAGCTTGTTTAATTTCTTCTAGCCGTTTATCTGAACACGGGAAAGTTTCTACAATGCTCCTGATGAATAGTGCATCGTCTACAGTCAGTTCATAGATTCTGTCTTTGACGAAGTCTTCTTTGATGTTTCCAGGACTTCGAGATAAACAATCTGCCGTGAAGTTTTCTTTCCCAGGTAGATAAGTTGTCTTATAATCGAAGACTAAAAGCCTCATTCTAAATCTTTGAAGCCTAGACGAAAGCTCTGAAATAGGCTTTGACCCTAGAATTTCTACTAATGGTTTGTGGTCTGTGTACACTTGAAATTGCTTTCCCAAAATATACATTGAAACCTTTTCACATGCCCAAGTCACACCTCATACTTCCTTTTCTATTTGCGCATAGCGTGTTTCAACATCAGTCAAACTTCTGGATGCATATGCTACTGGTCTCCACACCTCACCGTGCAGCTGCTCCATTACCGCCCCAATACCATATGAAGATGCATCTGCAGTAATTCTAGTCTCAGCATTACTTTTGTAAGGAGCCAACACTGGGGATTTTGTCACTGCATCTTTTAACAATTTGAATGCCTTGTCCTGGGATTCCCCCCATACCCACAAACTTTGTTTTTCAATAGATAGCGTAAAGGTGCTTTCATTTCGGGAATGTTGCTGAAAGTCAACAGTCCCGGAAGATCAAATAATTTATACCTGTGCCGCTAGGTCAAAAACTACAATGTTTGCAGTGTCTGTAGATCAAAAATCCCAGAAAGTCAAATAGTACAGTCCGGGCTAAAAGTTTAGTCTATGTTAAAGCAATTGACTTATTGGGAATTTGACCTAATGCAACAGCAGGATTAATATAACGAAATACGGTAAAATACAAGTTCAGTTTCGCTGAGTCAAAAGTGTCGGAAGATCAAAAGCAATAAAAGTGAACGTCGATTCAGTGTAAAGTAGACCTCCTGCAACGCTTACTACACCAACAAAACTCACTTTTAGTTACTTCGTGTTTTGTCATAATTAGAATAGAGCTAAAATTATCATATTTGGTACATAGCTTATTTATTAATGCTTCTTGCCAACTGTTTGGTCAACACTGTAAATAGGTATAGTTTATGTAATGAAAAGCCTTTCGTCAAAATTTGTGGCATAAAATACACGCAAGGACGATCTGAACATTTCTGGTTATTATATACGTTTGTAAAAGGAGATCCATTTAATTGTAGAACTATTTTATGAGTTATAATGTAGTCTACATATAAACTGTGTAATGTATTACGCCACGGAAGGGTTGAAACCTGTCCAAACTATCATATATATTATTATAACGTAAATGGGGTTTTTTCACGATTCTGAATCAACCAGTCGATGGATTTTCATTAGTTTTGTGTTGAAAGAAAGACCATTTTGAGAACTAGATAATTTCAAAGCCATAATTTAAAATTAATGTCCCAGTTTTTTATAAATTAAGTTTTAGTTTTTAAAAAGTCTAGCAGCCGATGCTAACCTTCTCCAATAAGTCAATGCTTCTAGCTAGCTTTTAGTACATTATAATTTGCTTAACATAACAGCTGTAACATTCAGTATTTGTGACACAAATTCAGCATTTGGAAGAAAATTCAAATACATACTTATGGTTGACTTATTTATACTATGTATGTGTAATGCTGACCATTGATACATTTAATTCTTCGGTACGAGGATGGCAGTTTAATTAAATGTGCATAGTAAAATACAGTAGTAGGATGTTCAAATTATTTTTTAAAGTATTCTTTGTAATCATCGATTTGTTTTAGTCCAATATAATTTGTTTTAACTAACAGCTGGTTGAATGTGCTATGTATACTTATAAAAGGCAAAGCCCTCACTGACACACTCACTCTCACTCACGCATCATCACTAATTCTCCCACTTCCCATTTACCTAGGAGGCTGAAATTCGATACACCGATTCTTTGGACATTAAATAGGAAAACTAAGTAGTTTTTATTATGATCGGGCATTCGGGCTCCGCCCCAGTGGCTCTGGAGTTTCCCATCTTAACCTTATGATTTTTCATATTTAAAAGGAATTAATGAATCATAACAGCTGTGTCAATTTAACAATTTATGACAACAGCTAATTTGCAACCAAAAGCTGAGTGAGCGTTTCGAACGAACTTCAACCTGGAGGCGAGTTAACCCCAAGGCAAGTGAGCTCAGCGAACGAGCTCCAACCTAAAGGTGAGAGAGCGTAGCGAACGAACTTCAACCAGGACTTGATTGAGCCATGCGAACGAGCTAATCTTGAAAATTAATTAGTTTAACGGGGCAAAGCCAGCGGGTACAGCTTGTTATTCTATAGAATTATTAGGTTTTTAGCTGTCATCGTTATTCGGGGACCGAGCAGGTCCCTAGCAGCGACCACAGAATTAAAATTTTAATTTTAATTCTGTGGTCGCTGGTCCCTAGGGCCGCAAAATTAGCTGCCCGCTTACTTACTTAAAACATGAATGCATATTAAATACACAATCAGTATCCATAGAATTATTTTATTGTCACCGTTGCCTAGCAACAATTTATTTTTATTTTTGCTGATGCCTCGAATTATTTCTTCACATAACCTTAAAGTTGTAGTTGTGCTAACCATCAGTGTGCATTTTTATAGAGGTGAATAGTGGCAATAGGGTATAGTGTGGTGCAAAATAGCGTTCGTACCACGGACCGAAATGGTTTTGCAGCTCTCGATCGAGACGAAGTCGAACTATCTCGAGCCGGCAAAACCTTATTTTTGGCCCTAGGTACGAAATATACTATTAAATGGGTTGTAGCTTAATCGGGTTTCAACTTTATTTAATTTACAGTCTGTTTCAAAAGTAGAAAAATAAGCAAATACATTAACAATAATACAACGTTAAAAGTATAGTGATTTACCACTCTCAACACTAGCTGACAAAGATAATTTTGATAACACAGCCGAATCTGAATGGGAGGTTTAAATGTCGTAAATGGTGTTGTGATTGTCCAATAAATTTAGTGCAAGATGAGAGCTCGCCTTGTGGTCGGAAACTTGACCAAAAGTATGTATTTTTCCAACTTATCTATATTTACCCTATGCTATAAATAAGACATGTAAATGGAATTTCTTCTATTTGGTTTTATTTTCTGTTTACATTTAGTTGTTATTTCGTTACCTACATGGCAACCCATACGGCCCAAGTTATTTTTAAAATTTTAAATTCGTTTCTTGTGTTTATTTTTGAGCCTATTTTAATTTATAAAGGGATTCATCACATCTACAGGAAAATATCTTTCATTTGGTACCAACCGCGTGTAATTCGTTCCAGTAGTATGATCAGGCTAGCTGTCATAAGTTTTGCAAAAGTTGTTTTGTATAAGACGATTTTGAATGATTTTCCAATTTGATTATCTTTTTTCACTAGATTTTGTAATTTCTTCTTTGACTTTTCAAATTCTAAGATTATTATGAAGTGTTCTGTTAGTAACAAACCAAGGTGCGTTGACAATTTTACGTAGCAATTTTGATTGGTATCGTTGAAAAATTTCAATGTTTGATGTACTTGATGATCCCCAAAGTTGGATCCCATAAGTCCAAATTGGTTTTATAACTTTTCTGCAAAGTAACATTATTTTGTGTACTAAGTTTTGATTTAGATCCAAGAAGACAATTAAGCTTAGTTATTTTAAAATTTAGATATTGTCTTTTAGTCCAGATATGTGCCTTCCAATTAAGCTTTGCATCTAAGTGCATGCCCAAGTATTTTATTTCTGTTACTTTAGGGTGGTAAATATTGTTCATGGATACTGGAGGACATGTAGCCAGATTTAGGGTAAAAGTAATGTTTTCTGATTTATTTTCACTAATTTTGAACCTCCATGTTTTAAACCAATGTGAAATTTCATCCAAGTTTAACTGTAAATTTGCTGTAGTTTGAACCGGTTTGTCGTGGACAGATAAAATGGTCATATCATCCGCAAATGTGGCAACGATAGTATTTACAATTTCTGGTAGGTCCGATGTAAAGGGAATATACAAGTATGGTTCAAGTACGCTTCCTTTGGGGATTCCTGATTCTATAGGGTAAAGGTCAGTTAAATAATTTTGATGTTTAATTTGGAAAGTTCTGTTTGTAAGATATGATTTTTAAATATGAAAAACTGAATGGGGTAGCTAAATGTGGCATTCTTGTCAATAGTTCGATATATCGATAGTAATATACACTAACACAATCGTAATAAACGAAATAATTTAATTATATTTACTAAACAGATGCTTGTTTGCATTAGCAAAATAAATAACAATTTAGAAGTCATTTTGAGAAGTTATCTTAGTATTTCTGTTAAAGAAATGACATTTCTTCATAATCTTAACATCTCAAATTACTTTAATACTTTCATCTGAAATGGCTACCATACTAAATTCAAACTCACATAACAAGAAATTAAATAACATCTAAACATAAATTAAAAAGTTTTACACCACAATTAAAAAAACAAATGTACGATTGCTCTTGCTCATTCTTCGTCAGATTAGGCATAGGCACGAGACCCTCCTTCATTGCGCAGTCTGTAGTCTTGGAGATAAGAGAGATATGCGGTAAAGATAAGCAAGAACTGGAAAGGTCCGTTGTGGGTTTGCAATATTTATCTCAAAATTCAGCGCAAGGTTAACTAAATTTTGGAATTAGGGTCTGAATACGTGATTGGTGAAATCCAGGAGGCAATACTGAACTTGCACTACTTATGTTTTATCGCATTTTTTACCTTATCTACCAAAATTATGCTATTTCCCTTTGGCACTTTAGGGGGAAACGACTATTTCACCCTGAAAATCACGTTTGGAAATCGAGAAAAGCTTTAGAAATCGGCGATTATAAGCGCTTGAAAAATCTTTTTTTCTTTTAATGGAAGCCTATTTTTTATTATTCGAGTCATTTCAAACTTCTTTTCCTCTTGCACTTTTTCAGCAAACACATATTTCACCACGAAAAACACGTTTGAAAATCGTTAAAAGCGTTATAAATCATTAATATCGCCACATTTGACTGGTAAGTGTCAATAAAAGAGTGTAAAAGAGTCCTTGGAGCCTAGACGTTGTAACTCATAAAACAATGTAAGAACTACAAAGACAATTTATAATTTAACAATATACTAGATATTTAAATTACAATCACTCTGATGTTTGAAAAAATACTTTTGGACTGTAAATAAATCTCCAGCTGCTGTCTGAAAT